TCATTCATTTGATAAATATTTTGAGCACCTACTGCCAGAATGAGCCGATGATTTGGGTCAAGCATCCATCCTGATCCCTGGCACTTGGAAGGTGCTCAGTACGCTCAGGCCTTAGTTATGTTCGTCAGCCTTAATGAGAGATACACTGTTTCAGAGACAGGCAAAGAGATATGAATGCAGAAAAGAGGGCGCACTGACTGGCTTCAAGCAGGTAAACAGGCAGGGAAACAATCAGTGGCAATGAAACTGCACTTGTACGACGATGTGCCTGCTCAGGAGCGGAGGCCCAGAGTGGCAGGGAGCTGTCTGATCTGATTTGGAGACACACGTTGCTGTAGGATAATGTTCAGTTCCCTTAGACTACAAGGAGGGAGGGCTAAGGCACACACTCGGTACCCAGCCCTGATGCCAAGTCTCAGCAGTATAACTGTCAGGCCGGGCTCTTTTCCACAGGAGAGAAACTGCCGTTCACAGAATCTCAGTTACTGACTTGTAGTCTGGTCCTAGCAAGAGCCTGCCTGTCCCCAACGGAAATGGTTGACAAGACCCCCTTCTCATGTTCAAACCTGCTAGAAAACCTAGAACACTCAGTGGCCAGGGTCCTCAAAGAGCCTGCCTCTGAGAAGCAGCTGGTGCACTGCGGAGGACATGACGGAGGCCTGTCTTAAGGTTCTATCTTAGCATTGCCCCTGCTACTTCTACTTCTAAGCCACACTTCTCCCCGGGTCAAGAGACCTCCGTGTAGTTTGTCAGGAAGTTGACCTAAGAGCCTCCCACCCACATTCCTAACTTCATATCCCCAGCGCCTTGGAAATGAGGAGCCTCTTGGCCACCATTCTCCAAGCATAAACCGCCTGGGTCAACTATTTCCTTAAGCACTTTGCACACCTTCTCTCGCTGAGTCCTCAAAGAAGCACCATGAAACTGGTATAAGTGAAGAAAGGAATGATGCAGAAAAGACCTGTGTCAAGCTGAAGGATGTCTCAGAGGCACGAAGGCAGGGAAGAATGTGGACCAATAGGCAGGACGTGTCCTACACTCCGTGCACAGTAAGACTGTGTTATGGTGACCTGTAGGTAGAAGCCAGCCCCCTGGCCAGAAGAGATGGCTTAGCTGTCATTCTGTACCCCGCTATCCAGTTGTCTGACCCGTTTAGCTCCTGTCTGCAAAGAAGGCAGGGGCTGATAGGAGCAAATAAAGCAGGAAGCAATATGAATTCCCAGTTCCCATCCCAGTGACAGATGATTCATCCCGCACTCCTCATGTCCTCTCCCATTTGTGCAATCCTCTTCTTTAGTTCATGAATATTTCATTCCTAGAGCAACGGCTACACTTCGCCCATAAATTTAACCGGTGGCTCTTTATTGCAATCTTGGTGCTCAGAGCGCTCACCTGCATTGGTTAACTACATAGATTCCTTGGAAAAAATAGGACTCTGAAGCCTGCTGAAGATTAAGAGGTTGAACATCCATCACTACAGGTCCTCAAGTCGGTGACTTTGAGCACCGATACACTGAAGAGACAGGGGCTCCACCCAAAGAGGGGCTCCCGGTGTCTGAGAAAGATAGCTCCGGCCCCCAGAGGCAAGGCTCTGCGATTAACCAGACACAGTCACCTCATTGTCAGTGCCGCTCCATAGAACCTGGGCAACCAGGGCACAGAGCAGTTCTAGATAAAACGCTGTCAGGATTCCTCAAAGATTTTAAAGACAGGCTTAGAAAGGGTCATGGTTTCAACTCCTCTCCTAGTACCTAGGCTGACAGGACCAGTCTACATTCTTCTGCCTGGCATTTACAGTCATCCCTGCATCCTCTTCTAGCCTCCTTGACTCACATCTTCTGCCTGATGCCCACACCCCTGTGCCGAAAGCGGCCATGATGCTGTTTGCCCCGGTAACAAGGCCACTGTTTTCTGCTCCCACCTGCGTGATGTACACCAGTCCTTTGACGCTTGGTTCTCACAACCTCGGCCCAAAGGCAGACTCTTACCCCTATGGCCCTGCGCATGTCCCAGGACCCATCAACCCCTCAGGACTCCAGATCGGCAGCACAGGGCTTGCCCCAAGTTCCTGTCACGTCTGCTCATGTGGCTGGGCTAGCATTTGGCTTAAAAGAAGGGTGGACAAAGAGAACGAGGGGGAAATGGGCAGGAAGAAAGATATTTATGTGAAAATCACAAACACATCAAAACTGTCAAACGTGGTACCTTCATTCACCATGGCACCAAAGGTGCTAGAGAAGAGGAAGGCAAGGTACTTGGCGATGAGGAGCCTAAGAAGGTTAAGTGGAGCTTCCCACCTGCCTCTTCTGTTCTCATGCCCAACCTAAAGTGGTCGGTCTCGGTAGGCCAGGAGCCCCACCTATTCCAGGCAAAAAGGTTTCAACAATTCCGTGGGGAAATTGTCACTGAAAGATAATGGAAGTTTTCCATGAAAATTGTAAGCCCCCTTGTATGCACCCTGTTGATTGTGCGGTCCTGGGTTTATTATGCCTTGTACACAAAGGAAGAGGAGATGATCCTCGCTGCTAGGCCATTTCTTAGGCGTTCTATTGTTCGATCTTTTCTGCTCTGCCTTCCTCCTGATGCCTTTCCCACAATCAGTCTGTGGTGATAAATTTGAAGTGTCTACTTGGCTTGACTCTGGTGCCATTTGGGGGAGGGTCCAACATGGGTCTAGATGTTCGCCTGCAGTTATTTTATAGATGTGATTCGTGTATATAATCAGTGGACTTTAACGGAAGCAAATCACCCTCTATAGTGAGGTTGGTGGACCTCATCCAATCAGGTATGATCCTGAATGACAACAATTGAGGTTTTCAGAATGAGAAGGTTTCTGCCCGGAGCCTGTGAATAGATAGATAGGTGTTGGAATGTCTAGCCCAGGTGTCCTCAAACTGCGGCCCGCCAAGGATATTTATCCAGCCCACCGGGTGGTTTTGCCCCATTCGTTGGTTTGGTTTTTTTTACTTCAAAATAAGATGTGCATAGGAATTTGTTCATAGTTTTAGGGCCAGACTACAGTTTAAAAAACAATGGGTCTGAGGGACAGTGAACTGGCCCCCTGTTTAAAAAGTTTGAGGACCCCTGGTCTAGCCTATCATCCGTCCTTCATGTTTTGGACCCAACACTGCCTGCGTCTCAAGCCGACAGACTTACCAGTAGCCACAATCACACGAACCACTTCCTTAGACTCAAGCTCCCTTTCTTTTCTACCTCCCTACACACTTCGTACCCTCCCTGCTCATGTGACAATTAACCTTGCAAGTCTGGGCCTGTGGGACATGCAAGAAAATGATCCGGAGGGAATGCAGAAGAAAGTCCAGAGGGCCGAGTCCTAACCGGTGTCTCCATGCCTCCCAGGTCCCCGCTGCCCTGACCTGGCTTGCATGACAATATGGTGTTCTTCCCCCTGACCACCTCACCACAGCTCCCTCCCATCTGAAGTCATTTGCATAGAAGTTAGACACAGGGGTGAAGGCAAAAACAGGCCATGAGTCCCATGCATCTCGGTCAGTGCACTTACTACCTATCCCCCGGGTGTGGTCACTCAGCGCCCCACTGGTGCTTTTGTGCACATGGATAGAGGTGGTCAGACCAGGGACAGATGCCCTGGCTATGGCCTGGGTGGAGAGCGGACTGAATGAATCGCCTAGAGGGGAAATTGGGTTTTTGGCCTTCCTTACAACCCCTGTCAGAATGACTCATTTAACCTCACAGAGACGTTCTCCAGCGACAGTTTCGAGGATCTCTAGAAGCTTGGGACAAAGCCACTATCTCTTACTCTGAGTGGGCTTTTCTCAACTTTCTTCTTTTCTCCAGGGGTCCAGGGCACATCAGAGAGCCCCAGCAATTGTGGGAGGCCGGGTCTCGCATTTCCTTGTGTGAAGGTACACAACAGGTAGAAGAGGAAATGGCTGCCCTAAAAATGTCAAACGGTTTGAGCCATGCCACTTGGCAGGGGGAGAAAGTGTGATGGTAGAGGGCACCCAGCTGCTAGGAGCAGTCAGTCTGGAGGAGAGGTGGGCTTGCCCCTCCCTGTGGATGTCCATTCTACCTGGTCACCCAGGTCACAGAGAAAGAGGTACTGACATTACTTCTTCTGCCAGTGGATCTGCTCTCTTTGGGTCTAATGCAGGCTGTTGTATTGCTTCTTATTTGAAACGTATGCTGTTCACACCAACAGAATCTGTACGCCAGGCTGTGGGTAGGCACCTTAACAAAAAGTGACAGCCCCCAGGTGGTGAGGCTGGGCCAATGCTATGCTTATCTGATTGAGTGTCAACACTCTATCTTAAAAGAATGGTCTCCAATGGACTCTGGGTGAGCCTTCATTAAAAAAAAAAAAAAGGAGTTTGAAGAACAACAAAAATCTAATGAGAAGGAAATGGTGAGGGGCAGAGGTAGCTTATGGGTGGTACAAGTGGGAGGATAATGGTTCCTGGATCTGAGCTTTGGCCAAAGTGCAGTCCCTATTCTGGGAGACAGACAGAGAGAGGGAGGGGAGAGCCTGGGTCCTGCCAGGCAGGGAGGGAGGGGAGAAAGGAAAGTAGAGGGGTAAGTACCACCTGGTACTCCAGGAGATCAGGGCCCCAGCCCTGGTGGGGAGGCAACAAGAACCAGGAAGGACCGGCTTCTATCTTACCCCTAGAGCTGGTCTCTCCAGGTCAGAGTGGAGGAGGCACATGGGCGGGGCAGGGCGGGTAGGGGCTCTCTGGTGCTGCCCACACGGTACCTGCTCTATAGATAAATACAGGACTTTAGTGGCCATGACCAGCACCTCAGCACTTACTTCAAGCATGAAAATACCCCCTAAATTCCTTCTGCTTTCCAGACACAATAAAACAGAAACATAACCCCGTAATGTCAAACACCACCTTTGTCTCCTACAACATGCCTTGGGTAAGCACTGACCCCTGAGAATCACCCCCTGCACAATGGCCTGTGTGACTCCTCCCTCTTTTAGCTAGTGGGAGAACATCGGGCCCAGGTACCGTACAGACCTCTTTAGGTGTCTCCTGATGGCACCGGTTGCTGTTCCACCACAATTCCAGGGCAGCCACAAGGCAGGCGAGGAGGAGGCCGATGGCCAGGATGCAGAAGACCCCGGCAAAGCTATGGAGCTTGAGTGATTTGCCATCCGCCTGGGCACTGGCATGGCTGGTGAGGTCACAACGGCCTGAGTGCGGCCACCACTTCTGCTTGAGCACATCGAGGTCCCCAGTGTCCTGCAGCTCCAGGATCCTGCAAGATAGAGCCCAGGTCAGCTGCAGCCATGGGTTCCTTCCCTACATTGGCAGGCCCCATCGCTGTTGTCTGCCCAGCTCTCTCACACCGATCTGTTTTCACACTGGAAGCACATTGTTCTTCCTAAAACCAAATGAGATCCTACTGCTCCCTCTCCCAGTCGGTCCCATCACCTACTGATGCATTCAAAGTTTACAACGGAGCACATATGGCCCTTCCCATGGAGCTTGGGGCCAACATGATTATCAGAATAAACCTGGGAAAGGAGGAATAAGTGAGACAAGCCTTACCCTGGGGATTAGGATGCCCATGTGTGCAAAAGCAGTTGTCTGCAAACAGTATTACCCAAGGAATTCCCATAAGAATTCGCCAACTCTGTATCCATTCTTTTTATTCAGATGACACATCAGTGGTGGTCAACACTATTCAGAGGACCATCAGTGGTGGTCAACACTAGTGAGCTTCTCACCTAAAGGCAGGACCATGGGTATAACTAGTATACAGATTCATGTAAAGAGAGAAGCTGTGGTACATTCACTGTACTGGCAGTATCAGATGCTAGTACATAATGGAGCGAGGGCTTTCATCACTCCATCAGGGGTTATGAAAAAAGTGCATCCATCTTACAAAGTTATTTTGACAAGAGGAAACATGGAAGCAAAGGCCAGTATTCTGCCCAAGGTCTAGCAAGTAGTAAAAGTTCAGCCAAAGTGGGTTCTCTTCAATGTTCACTGTAGCATTAGATACAATAACCAGAGGTGGAAATAACCTACATATCCATTCACAGAAGGATGGTTGCATAAAATAGAATGTTCGAAGAAGTCTGCAGCATCAGAGTTGGAGAAAGACTCATTAACAACCTGTGATATGCAGGTGATACAACCTTGCTTTCTGAAAGTGAAACATTCACTGATAAAGTCGCAGGCTATGAATAATATCTCAATCTTAAGAACAAAAATCCTCACAACTAGACCAGTAAAGAGTCTCGTGATAAGTGGAGAACAGATTGAAGTTGTTAAGGATTTCCTTGTCCTCAAATCCAGAACCAATGCCCAGGAAAGCAGGCATCCAGGAATGAAACACGGTATGTGTGGTAGTTACATAATGTGGTGTCAACTTGGGACTTGAGAGGATTAAGAGTGAAGGGGTGGAGTCTAGTCTGTCCATCGGGCCATAGCCAATGAGGCCTCTGTGTAGGCATGGTTTTCTCCTGAGAATTCTGGGAATAATCCTGTATTTTTCCCCCTTGGAGATGGGAGGCATCCTCTCTCGGCTCACTCCCTTGGAGACGCTCTACTGACAAGACAGATACATGGCACTACACTGATAGACCCTATGCTGCATGAAACAAGTCAGTCACAAAAGGATAAATCTTTTATGGTCTTCTATAAAATATCTGTCATATTGGTTTTGCTGTTGTTTGGTGCCATCGAGTCAGCTCTGACTCGTACCGACACTGTGCACGACAGAACTAAACAGTGCACAGCCCTGCACCATCTTCATAACCCTTCCGGAGCCCGAGCTCATCTGCGTAGCCGGTGTGTCCATCCGTCTCATCAAGGGCCTTCCTCTTTGCGCTGCCCCTCCACTTCAGGGACTGGTCTCTCCTGACAATATGTCCAAAGTATGTCAGACAGTCTTGCCATGTTTGCCTCTAAGAACACTTACTTCTTCCAATACAGAGCAGTTTGTCCTTTCATCAGTCCATGGTACGTTCAATAGTCTTCTCCAGGCACACAATTAAAATGGGTTCAGTTTTTAAGGTCTTCCTTATTCAGTGTGCAACTTCCACATGCATACGATGCAATGGAGAGAGAATACCATGGCTTGGGTCAGGCTACCCTAGTCCTCAAAGTTAACATCCATGCTCTTCAATACCCAAAGAGATCGTGGGCAGGACATTTACCTAATGCAATAAGTCTTTTGATGTTTTGACTGCTGCTTCTGTGAGCAGTGATTGTGGATCCAAGCACTATGAAATCCTTGACAACTTCAACCTTTTCTCCATTTATTATGATGTTGCTATTGGTCCAGTTGTGAGGATTTGGGTTTTTCTTACAGAGTCATAATCCATACTGAGGGCTACAATCCCTGATTTTCATCAGCAAGTGCTTCAAGTCCTCCTCACTTTCAGCAAGCAGGGTTGTGTCATCTGAATACTGAAGGTTATTCCTAAGCCTTCCTCACCTCTTGATGTAAAATTCTTCTTCATATAATCCAGTGTCTCTGATGATATGCTCAGTTTATAGATTGAACAAGTACGGTGATAGGCTATAACCATGATGCTCACCTTTCCTGATTTTAAACCATGTAGCATTCCCTTGTTCTGTTCGTACAACCACCTCTAAATCCATGTAGAAACTAACAGACAAATGATGGAAAATATTTGGAATAGGTAAGTGATTTTAATGTTCTAGAAAAAGCAACTATTCAGCTAAAGATTTTTAGGGATCAAAGGCAGGATGGAGAGTAAGAGGGGGATTCAGTGCGTAGGAGACACTGACCTTCTGTTAAGAGTGATGGTTGACCAACACGGAAAACATAATATCATCACAGAAATGAAGATGTTTGAAGTAGCGATTTTTTGTTGTATATATGTACCACATTTTTTTAAAAACCCGAAGTTGTTAGCTGTATAGTTAGTGAAATCTGATGATGTCGTGTACTGGGTCACAGGAGCCATGTGCCGCCAGACTGGGTCAATGACTGAGAACAGTAAGAGCAGTTATCTTCCTAACTTTCTGCAGAGCAGTTATATGGTATTTCTTCTATGTACTGAAAACCTGATGCTCAGGGTCTTGGTGTCTTTCTTACAGTTTCAATTAATAAGTGGAAAAGTTGCTCTTCAAAGCCAGCTTGTCCTGGCCCTGGAGGCCTCACCGTTTCTAGAATGCCAGGCTACATGTAGATAGCCTATTCTCTGAGGGGCAGGCTACGGCTAATGGGATCGCGACTCTCAGAGGGGGCATGACTGGAGTTGGATTCTGACTCCTCCACTCATGCACTTGCTCACTGTAATATGAGGCAACTGTTCAGCTCCCCTGGCACTTCTCTTTGTCCTGCTCCTCGTGATTGTATGAATGTTTATGTCCTATAATATTCTAGAAAAAATGTAAGGCTATTTACAGGAAAATAAAGAGTCACAATTTTAAAAGAGCAGTAAATTGAAATGTGGGAACCACACAAGAAAGGGAAATGAAGTGATGGGCACAGAAGGGTGTTTTGAATGAGGCGAAACACACACACACCATAACCACAGACACTGCTACTCACCACAGTGATAACAGCCACTACCTGAAGCAGACAGACATAACGGCAGGTGCTTTCCTTTATCCAATCGTTTTGGAGCTGGCTACTCAGTAGGTGCTCAATAAAGAGTTATTATGTTGATTAACATGTATTGAATATCAAATTTGGGTAGCCTGGCCTGCAAACGTGTTCCAGCATTGAACCTCTGCTACACACATGAATATAGATCACATACACACCAGGGAGCCTATACATTCTGGTTTTGGCCAGAGCAAAATGACCATATTTGTGTTTAAAGAAATAGGTTCGCTCCTAGAACTACAAAACAGGTTACCATTGTTATCATGAGGCTGGGATTAGCTATTTACGTAGTGACGCTTTGTGCAAATGGCATGTGGCCTTGCTTCCTGGGGTTGCCCGCTCCTTCGTCTGTGGCATGCCACAGCTAAGAGTTGTTCACTATTGCACGTACACCATAAATAGTCTTGCTAAAGAGGCCCTGGTAACAGTAACTTGGTGCATATATTATAGGTTTAGTATTAAGGTAACAGATAGACATTGGGCCTCCACTCCAGTACTCCCTCAAGGCAAGAATACTTTGTTCTATTAAACTGGCATTGCCTGATGCTCACCTTCCCGACATCACTTTAGACAAAGTGAGTGCATAAGCAAATGTGGTGAAGAAAGCTTATAGTACCCGGCTATCAAAAGATATTGCATCTGGACTCTTAAAGGTTTGAAGGTAAACAAGTGGCCGTCTAGCTGAGAAGTAACAAAGCCCACATGGAAGAAGCACAACAGCCTGTGTGATCATGAGGTGATGAATGGATCAGGTATCAGGCATCAAAGAACAAAAATATCATTGTGTGCCCACCTTCCCAATAGGACCGCTGAAGGCAAATGGGTGCATAAGCAAATATGGTGAAGAAAGCTGATGGTGTCCAGCTATCAAAAGATATAGCATCTGGGGTCTTAAAGGCTTGAAGGTAAATAAGCGGCCATCTGGCTCAGAAGCAACAAAGCCCATGTGGAAGAGGCACACCAGCCTATGCAACCATGAGGTGTCGAAGGGATCAGGTGTAAGGCATCATCAGAACAAAAAATCTTACCATACTGAATGATGGGAGTGTGGAGTGGAGACCCAAAGCCCATTAGTAGGACACTGGAGATCCCCTTGCAGAGGGGCCTCAGGGAGGAGACGAGCCAGTCAGGGTGCAATCTAGCAATGATGAAAAATACAACTTTCCTCTAGTTCCTAAATGTTTCCTCCCCGCTTCCACTATCATGATCCGAATTCTACCTTGCAAGTCTGGCTAGACCAGAGGATGTACACTGGTACAGATAGGAACTGCAAACACAGCGAATCCAGGGTGGATGATCCCTTCAGGACCAGTGCTGAGAATGGCGATATCGGGAGGGTGGAGGGAAGGTGGGGTAGAAAGGGGGAACCGATTACAAGGATCTACATGTGACCCCCTCCCTGAGGGATGGACAACAGAAAAGTGGGTGAAGGGAGACGTAGGACAGTGTAAGATATGTCAAAATAATAATAATTTATAAATTATCAAGGGTTCATGAGGGGAAAAAATGAGGCGCTGATACCAAAGGCTCAAGTAGAAAGCAAATGTTTTGAGAATGATGATGGCGACAACCGTACAAATGTGCTCGACACAATGGATGTGTGGATGGACTATGATAAGAGTTGTATGGGCCCCTAATTAAATGATAATTTAAAAGAAAAGAAGTGCTATGGAACAGAAGAAATTTCCAGAGGGCAACTTTCTCACATTGAGTAGCCAAAGTTGACCTGAAAGTTATAGGATATGAAAAGGCTAAATGAGGGATGGAGGAAAGGAAGGAAAGCCTAGACTTATATTACATGTCTTTATACTCATGTAATCAATTGCCCGTTTTCAGATAAAGAACGAGAAAGAAACAGTAACTTGGAGACCTGAGGTCTGACTGCTTCCCCAAAAGTAAATGCCAGGCCACAGGATAACGGATGCTTCCAGCCCAGGAAGGCCTGGATGCACATGGAAAGACTGTGGGAGTCAGCACACCCACTGTAGACTTTGTGCTTCTGCTCAGAGTATGCGAGTGGCTTTGGACAGGACAATGTGAGAAATTCCTCTTGCTAAAATGGTAAGAAAACTGGCTCAGCCACTTTTGTTTATGGCCACCCTTAGGGTGCTTGGGGGATACTTTGTCTAAGGACCCCACCCCCGGTAAGGCTCATCCCAAGGAAAATCTGTTTCTCTGCACTCCACACCCATCACAATGTAGCTGGTCACTGCGCCAAGAGCCACAGACAGGCATCTCATGCCTCCTGCACCAACACTTTGGCAATATTGATGTCAACAACCTTGTCCCCGGCTCCAAGTCCCTTCTTCTTTTCCTATGTTTGTTCAAGGCCTCTTGTGACCCAGTTGGAGCCCCTCCCATGCCAATTCCGCTTGAAAATCCAGGTGAGAACCCAGCTTCTTGGTCAAAGTTGGCTCTCCCCTCTCTTCAATGAGTCCATGTTCCTAGGAGAACCAACACTGGGGACCATCCTTTTCCTTGCAGGAAACAGATGCTTCTGGAAGTGCTGTCTTGGGGAACCTTAGCTATCTTGATGCTGCTGTTATATTGGCCCCCTGGGATCCCTTACCATCTGTGCTAATGATGCTTACTGATTCATAGTCTGTGGGATCACCCCATGCCTGCCTCTATGTGAACCAATTAGTATAAACTTCAGCAATACCATAATCTTTGAGATTCTAGGAACATGCTATTCACTGAGTGCACCCTGCGTTTAAGCCATTGATGAAGCATGGTTCTTCCTTCTTACTAGGAGCCCTTGTGGCACAGTGGTTCAGATTGATCTGCTAACCGGAAGCTGAAGGATGTGAACCTACCAGCCTTCTCCATGGGAGAAAGTTGAGGCTCTAATGATTTATCGCCTTGTACACCCTATGGGGCAGTTCTGTCCTGTAGGGTTGCTACGAATTGGCATTGATTCAATGACAGTACATTTTCTCCCTCTTGACACATCTATCTTCTCCAGGGAACAGAGAGAGGCACTGAAGGTAGATTTGAATGAACTCTAGAGGAAATCCCAAAGCTTCATTGAACTTAATTGATCCTATCCCTTTCCTCAGTTTGCAAGTGAAGACAGAGTGCAACCTGGTCTCCATGACTCCTCCCTGATAGGGCTGGGGCGTAGGTGCCTGTGATCAGAATTGCAGTTCAATATGGATAGCGGTGGGGTTGAAAAATGAGTCCACACTGACTCATAGCAACCCTGTAGGACAGAAGAAAACTGCTCCTCTGGGTGGCTGAGACTAATTCTCCACAGGAGTTGAAAGCCTCAGCTTTCTCCTGGGGACTGTCTCGTCGTTTAGAACTGCTGACCGAGTGGTTAGGAGCCAACATGGAATCCGCTACACTGAAGGCTAACCTCTTAGAATTCCTCCTGGGCCCTGCAATGGCATGCTTTGCCCCACCTTGTAGACGGGTGTTAGCAGAGTCCAGGTCTTGGGACCCTCAGGGAGACTGGGGCCCCAAACAGGAGGGGGTCTGCGTATAGGGAGAGGACTCCTGTGCGTGCAAATGCCCTTCTTCCTCTCCTTTATGCTACAGCCAGGTCTACTGGCCCAGGACAAAAGGCAGCTTCTGGGGAATCTGGGAAAATGATGATTGTTTTTTTCTCGAAGAAATTGGCTGGGTGCCCCAAAAGAGCACCTCAACAGTTAGTTGTTCATGCCCAAGGGGCCAGAGAAGATCTGGTTCCAGATATTGACATGCACCAGGAAGTCATTTGAGAAGCTAAATTGGTACATGCAAAGTAAAAGCAAACATGTTGGATGCATTTCGGGAGGAAGCGTCCCGCGTATTTGTTCTGGTTAGACCACCCCAATCCCCACCGTGTCTTTGTTCCCCGAGAACAGCCCTACCAGGCACTAGTATGAAGTCATTAGGAAACGGAATTAATTCTCAGAAGATTCTTGGGAACCTGTATTCCCATCTAGGGAGGGTAGTGAGAAAGCAGGGATAAGAGAGAGTTTGTAGTGAGTGGGATAGGGTCAGGTCCCCTCCATGTCCTAGCAGGGGGTGGCCTTGTTGACCAACGAGCTCTTGCTCCAAATTCAGTACCCCGTCTTCCCAGATCATGTGCAGATGATTCTGTGGATATTCCATGTCTCTGACCTATATTTTTTCCAGTGGCCACATTTACTATCCCCACTTTGCAGATACATTTATTTTTAAAATTGGTTGTTGGGCTCTTGTCAGTGTCTCTTAATTAGTTAGTTCATCTGAAATTATTGGGACTATCTTAAGCCCAGGCCTCATTTCCTCTGGGCAAGCTTCCCTGGTATCCCAGTGTGGTCCTCCCTCTGCCCTTCCCCTAGCATCTGTGACAATCCTCGTTACTGTGCCACCTGCCCCATGCCATCCTTTGGTCGAGTGTCCACCTGTATGAAGCAGAATGATGTGTCCACTGGTACTAAACACACTCTGAGCGGTTTACCTACATGAAAGAGAAAGGGGCCGCAGGTCTCTACATCCCAGCACCTAGCAAAGGGCCTACTTGAGGTAGAAGTGGAGCTGGCATATGGATTTTAGGAAAATTTTCATGAATAAATGAGCTTTTACTATCGTTCATCTTCTTTTGAGAAGGTCCAATCCCCAGTACCAAGGTACCTGGTGTCATGGGGCTGGTGCACCTACCTTTGGGAGAAGAGGTCCCTGTAGGGGCTGCCATGCTGCAGGGCGATGCCGTAGCCCTTGCTGCTGATGCTGTTGCTGATGACGGTCACAGAGCAGTCGTCGTCTGTCAGCGCTGCGTACTCCACTACGGCCACATCCCATAGGAAAGCATAGTTGCCCTTCTTTGCCTGCAAGATCAAAACCATGTAAGATCAGACTCCCGGGCCTACTGCATTGGTTTGGGGAGAGAAGGCAGATTGAGGTTGGAACTTGAGAAGGTGAGAACTTTCCCACCCTAAAGGACCCTCCAGCCCAGTGGTCAGCCATGGCAAGTGCTTCCACTCCACCACTGACACTCATTTGTTTCTGACTGCAAGTCCTCGAATGTATTTGGGCCACCACCCCCTTTTCAGAACAAAAAATGACTCTGCTCCCCCTAGCAATGAAAAGCTTGCACACTATAGGCCCACAATCCAGGAAAAAGTATAGCTATGTCCTTTTGATCGCCCCCTCTAGATTGTGCCAGAACCCACTCGCCAAGGGTGCAGTCATTACCCACTTTGGGAAACACTGGTTTGAACATTTAAAAACAGGCTCAATCCAGGAATACGTGGAGCGGGAACAAAACCTGCTTCTCCCACTGTCAAAGGAAGGGGACATTCTACCTGACGTAAATACGCTCATGTCACAAAAACAGACGTGGGTCTGCTCTGAGAAGGTACTCTCCATTCCCAACACCATCCGTCCTCTCTCAGCACCCCACAGCTTTATCGGCTGCCTGATCTACTTCAAAGTCCCCTGGATAATGAAAGGGCATGATCAAGCTTGGGCTCCCCAAACTTTTCATTTTCAGAAAACTTTTCTGCAGCTTCCAGATGCCCCACCCTCTCCCGCAGTCTTCCTTGTCGGTAACAGAATCTCAGACAGCGTGGCCTGTAGGTCTGCACAGACTCGCATGAAGAGCTTGTATTCCAGCTACAAGAAGTCAGTATGGCACTCATCACAGATCAGTGAAGCGTTTGTGGCTCCCCTCTGGAACCCCTTACAGAATGAATCCTCCTCTCAAAATGGTATCGCTCTTCCTTGCAGGATCACTCCCAGTCTCCCACATGGGGCCTAATAACCATGACTCCACCTTCTTAGGTTCTGCTGTTTATCCAGAGGGCCTGGCTTGCCCATCTTTGGGAACACCATATATGCTAAGGGTCTTCATTCAGGAGAGCCAAGACTCTCCTTTTGACATCCCTCTCGTGATCAGCTTGCCCCCTCTGTTCTTGAATTTCAAAAGTCTCCTACCCTCCTTAAGATCATTCTGTTCCTCAGCCAATTCTCTCTTCTGTGAGCTAAGCTTCTCTACTGTGCTGTTTCCCGTAGCAATCGTTCCTCCTCCTCCTCCTCCTTCATGCCCACAACTCCATTTAAGAGACCATTCACATCGGGAGACACCTATCCTTTCCGAATGTGTACCTAATGCTCCTTTATGTTGAGGATTTTCTTTTTTCCCCCATCTCTTGAGAAGATAGAAATCTAGCATCCTCTTGACCTCCCCTCGACTGTGTGCCATTGACTGGTAGTCACAGTGAGAGGAGGGGGAGGGGGGAAGCCAGCCTCTGTTTTGCAAGCATCTTGGAGTCCTGCTCGGGTGACACAGCACATCTTTAGAGGTGGCTACTATTGCCACTTGCTTTTCACACGGACTCATTCTCCACTGTGCTTCTACATCCTGTCCTTTCTTTACTTCCCCGGTGGCCGTGGAGAACACAGGAGGATCTGGAAGCAGGCATTCTAAGCAGAGGGATAGTTACGAAGAGAAGATGAACATTTTTTAAATAATACCTGACACATAGAGTGGAGACTTGGGTGTTAAATCCATTCCATGGGTACAAAGGCAAGTGGATTTCTACACACGAGTGGAATTAGACGCATACCGCCTCACATAAAAAAAGAAATTAATAAAATGGATCAAAGACCAAAATGTGTCACCTAACAAGGTAAAATTCTTAGGAAAAAACTTACGAGTAATGCTTTAGGAATCAGTCTTCAACAACGAATTCTTAGAAATGCTGCCCAAAGCATAAGCAACAGCAGACAAAATAAATGGGATTTCATTAAAAAATGTACAACTTCTCCACATCAAAGGGCCTTATTAACCAAAGAAGAAATCTACACACTAGGGAAACATGCGTAACACGAGTTTAATATTCCAATGATATAAAGACCTCATCACATTAAAAGGACATGATCAAAACAAGAGCGAAGAACGCAGGCATTTCGCCAAGAAATCTACAAGTGTCCAATAAGCGCATGAAAGGATGCTCCTTGCCATGGGTCACTCTGACCAAACTCATTGCCATTCAGTGGATGCCAACTCTCACAATCCTGCAGGACAGACTAGAACTGCCTAAAAAAGTTTCCAAGGTCGTGCATCTTTTTAAAACCAGTTTTACTGGCATATAGTTCACAGTTTATATAATTCAATTGTTCAATCATCACCACTGTCAATTTTAGACTGTTTCCTTCTTCCTTACACTCAGTTATTAACTCCCCATTTGGACACAGAATGATACATCTTTCTCCTGAAGAGTGGCTGATAGGTTCACACCCCGAACCAAAAGGTTGCTTCAGGTCCACCACTTTGTCATCAGGGCTCCGCATGGCCACTCACGGCCACCAAGCCAATGCAGATGCAGAGAAACCCTTTGAGACCATGGACAATTGTCCTAATGAGGGTCTGGGACGGTCACCCTTCAAGGGAGTAGAAAGGCCCTTCTTTCTCCCTTGGAGCAGCTGGTGGCTTTAAACTGCTGACCTTGATGTGAGCAGCCCAGCACATAACCACTCTGCCACCGGACTCTTCTCAGAGCCACTCGGGAATGCAAAGCAAAGCTATCATTAAATAACATTTCATCCCCACAAAGAAACTAAGAGCAAACCAACAAAAAATTACAAATGCTGGGCAAGAGGTGGAGGAATTAAAACCCTCATCCTTTGCGGGTGGCCAAATGTGCAGTCAACTTACAACAGTTTGCTGGTGGTGAAGGATAGCGCTCCCAGCTGACCCAGGAACCCCAATCCTACTGCTATACACTAGACCTGAAAGCCACGTGCTACAGTGCTTATGATGGCACTGTGCACAACAGCCAAAGGGTTCTTGTACAATCCAGATGGCCTCACATTTGTGAATAGACAAACTATGTTCTATAGATACAGTGGAAACGTATTCAAAGGCTGTCCTCAAATCATTTGGCTGGAAATGTTACCCCATCCAGCCTCTTGTCTGATTTTAGTCCTTCAGGTTCCTTGTTTTCTCTCCAACGAACATTGAAAAAGAACACAATTTGAGTCCCTTGAGGATAACAGACCTGCCATGAGGAGACGGTAGAAATGGAATAACACAGAATTCAGGGAAGAGCTAAAGAGATGGAGGATGTAGATGGAGGATAAGTAAAAGGAAACAATAGCTGCACATTTTGGTATTTTTCAATAAAGGTTTCTATAATTTCATAACAATATTTTGACTGTATATAAATGAAAGCTAAAGACTTATATGATGGATGTATTACCTCTGTTATGCATGTGTGTAAAATGCAATCTGAAAAAGTGGATAGGTGTTGGGAGCCGGTGGCCTTTAAGGCCTTAGCCTCAGCCTGAGCCGAACTTGGCTGCTTCCTAGTCTTTCATTTGCAAAACCTGTGAGGCCCTGCCTAAATTCCTGCCTCCGCGTTCCTAGCTACGTGCTCTGTAGCACGGGCAGTTGTAAAGTTGACCTTTTCACCCATTGGTTAATAATGCCAGGCGCTCATTGGACTAAGATGGACTTTGCTTTACACCTGATGGACCTTAATCTGCATGCAGGACGTCTTTGAGAACTAGCGCGCGCCCTTTTACCTACAGCTGATTGGTTAACGTTCTTATGCTTCATTAATGTACCTGTTGGAGTGGATGCTGTGTCGCACACCTTATTAAAATATGCACCTCCCAGTTCCCCCTTTTTTGTACCCCAGCTTTGCCCAAATAAATGAGTTTGATCAGAGTTTTGTCTTGCTCCACGCCCCCGTGTCTTCTTTTCTCCATCCAGGTTCGTCTTTCCCCGCAGGCCGGGACGCAACAGATAGGATTGCAAGGGTAGGATCAGTGATAGTTCTGATGGTTCTTAGGAAATTTTTATCAAACTTTTTCTTAAGTTTGCTACAAAGTCTAAGCCGTCACATATGTAATAGGTACAAAATAGGATCTCCAGCCCCATATCTGATCTGTCCGGCTGGACCGGTGACTCTGTCCATCAACAGACCCAAAGGCCAATGGCCTGGCAGAGTCAGACAAGATCCTCAAGGAGAAGCTTAGCCCTTGGGGAAGTCTTCCTGACAAACTAGGGCTGCCTCTAAATATTTTGCTGGCATCTGTTAGTTAAAAACAACTAAATCTAGCACTTAGTCTAGATATCAGCACGAAGGGAAGAAAACGCACCTATGGCACCGTAGAATGTCAAGGACATTTAAGCATCTGTCTCCAGGATGCCAGGACAAGAGAAGGTAGATGGGCCAACGTTGCCTCTCTCCCAGAAATTGTAGCAACACAAGCCCTGTAGCCAGTCTCTAATACCGCCCCCCCCTCCACTTGCTATGAAGAAAAAGAAATTGGGGTCTGGGAATGTTTCCCCCTGTGCTACAGAAGCCTATTTCCATGGGCGAATATGACCTGCCTCTATCACTGAAGGAGGATGGAACTTCCAAAACAAGCCCAGAGTGAGAGGCCTTCTGGATGGTCCTCCGACACCGTCCCGCCCTGGCAGTCCAGTCACGGTGCAACTCCTTTCTTGGCCCCAGTGGGCCTCCCGGTGGAACTTTCTTGGAACACCGCTTTTCAGAGATATCAGCCTCTGAGGGAAGAAACCTTCATTTGATGATTCTTCTCCACACGAAATGCTTTTGGGTTGAGACTACAACCACGGTTTGCACCCCCAAGAACATCTGTGATACAGATATCACATATGAATGAAATCATAAAGACCACGTGGAAGGAAAGTGAGCCTTTGCAAGGAAACACCCTTTGGCTGCCAGGTTCTTCCGAAAACAGATGTTTGTTTATGAAAGCACACACACAATCAATCAAACAAACAAAAATAAACCGAGGCCCAGAGACACAAAGAGACATCACAAAGACACCCAGAGAGAAAGGTGGAAATGTA